AGGCCTGTAGTGTAATCACAGTGATTGCACCTATCTTACTTTTGAGCTGTACCCAAATTGCCTCAGTGGATGAGCCCTCCTGCATGTCCCACCTGAGCGCAGATGTAACATTGTCCCTGATTAGTAATGCATTAGAAGCTGGCATCATCGGAACAAATCCAACAAAGATGGAGAAACTAGAGAATGGAATAGTGTCTTTACAGGAAGCAGAGTATGAGGATGTACAGTCAAACTAACTGTGGGAATCAGGCATTTGTAGTGGGAATGGCAGCTGCCTATCCCCAGAAATGGAAGCACGGATGTCAAGGAAGGGAGAGGAAGAGTCAGAGACGGACCAGGTGAAGATGACAGCGTGGTGGAAATTGGAAGTGAAATTGATAAACTTTTCCAATTCTAGACAAAACAGAGAAGCCGCAATTATGTCATCAGTATACAGAGAAAGAGTTGAGAGTGAGGCTCAAGTACGACTGAAACAAGGAATGCTCAACATACCTCATAGTGAGACACATATAACTGGGGCCCATGCAGGTACCCATGGCCAAAGCTTTGACCTGAAGAAAGTAAGAGGAGTTAAAGGAGTTGTTGTTCAAAGTGAAGACAAGCTCAGTCAGGTGGCAGAGGATGGTGGTGGATGGGGACAGTTTAGGCCTGCTTTTCAAGGAGAAGCGAAGAGCCCGGAGACCACTCTAATGGACGACGTACGTGTAAAGTGATTGCACATCCAAGGTGAAAAGGAGGTCGCTAGCACCTGCAAATAGAAAATTTTGAAACTGACGTAAAATATCTGTGGAATTGTGGATGTAAGTGGGAAGGGACCGGACAAGGGGAGAAAAACAACCGAGTCGAGGAAGGAAGAGAGGAGTTCTGTGGGTCAAGAACAGGCAGAAACAATGGGTCTGTCCAGGAAGTCCTGTTTGTGGATTTTGGGAAGGAGGTAGAAGTGGGCTGTACGGAATTGGGGGACTATGAGCTTGGAGGCAGTGGGGACAGGGAGATCACCAGATGAAATGAGATTAGTGATCGTTGTGGACATAGAAGCCTGGTGTTCAATGGTGGGGTCGTGGTCAAGGGGGAGATAGGAGGAGGTGTCTGAGAGCTGGTGGCTCAGCCTCTACAATGTAGAGGTCAGTGTGCCAGACAATAGGACCACACTTGTCGGTAGGCTTGTTTACAAATCAGGGTTGGATCTGAGAGCACAAAGTGCAGTCAGTTCAGAGGGAGATAGATGAGGGGGGGCAGACAAATTAAGGTGACCAATGTTATGTTGGTAGTTCTCGATGAACAGGTTGAGCGCCAGTTAAAGACCAGAGACAGGGTCTAGGTGCAGGCAGCGTGTTGGACATGGGTGAAGGGGTCTGTGGGACAGGCAGACGACTCCTATCTAAAGAAATGGGCACAGAGGTAAAGGCAACAGAAGAGTTCAATGTCAAGTCGTGCCCAAAACTAATTGAGCTGTGGGTGCAGAGGGATAAAACTAAGGATCACCGTTGATCTCTTTGTGGCCTTAACTCTATATTTCCACCTATCCCCAACCATTTTATTGGCCCCTTTTTTGTTCAAGAATCTTTCCACCTCTGCTCTAAAAAATATTCAATGACCCACCTCCATCAATCTGTGGGGAAGAGAATTGCAAAGACTCATTCATCCCAAACAATTTCTGTTCATTCTCCAATTCAACGGGAGACCCGTTATTTTTAAGCCATGTCCCTTAGTTCTGGTTCCCCCACATCCTTGTAGTATCTCCATCAGGATCTTATTAAATAGGATCAAGTCTTATTCTCGTCAACTCCAACAGGTACAAGCTCAATATCTCTCTAATCTCTCTCCACTGAAATGATCTGCTACTTTTCTATTCTTCCTGCCAAAGTGGACACGTTCACATTCTCCTACATTATATTCCATTTGCCAATTTTCCTCCCCACCCACTTAACTATCTCCTTTCCAGACTCTATTCTCAACACAACTTACTATCCTCCCTGTCTTATATGCTGAAACACCTCCTTAAATGTTTGCCACTTTATCTTGATTGACCCAATCCACCTTAACCAGCTGTGCCTTCATGTTTTCATAATTACACTTGCTCGAGTTCATAGCCTTCGTCTGAGATCTATTTCTCTCTCCCTCAAAATGGCAAGCGATAATCCATTGTATTCAACCCCTCACATTGTTTTACTATACTGGATCTGGTAGCGTACAAAGAACTGCAGATACTAACATTCTGGAACAAAAACAGAAATTACTGGAGAAACTCAGTAGGTCTGGCAGATGTCAGGTAGAAAATTGTCACCGACACAGAATTAACCACATGGACAAATGTGAAAGTTTTGTCATGTTATTGCAGTAAGTTTCAGAGTTACAGGGAGCAGGCACTACAAGATGCTCATTTGGAGAGCCGTCACAAACACAATGGGCCAAATGGCCTCCTCTGTACTTTAACAGTTCTGAAATTCTATGTTACTGTAATTGTGACCATGTCATACTTGTTTATTTCGATTTGGGTTGTCAATTCATCTGTCTTATTCCAAATTATGACTGCACTCAAATACCTAGCCCTTAGCTGTCGATTTTGTAATCAATAGCATTATCTGATGATGCACACTTAGGTTGTCTTCCATGTCCCCGCCTGCCATATCTGACCATTTCCCCTACTGCCAACTTTGTCTTCTCATCTTCCCTATTCAACTTATAACATTTTCTCAAATTTGAACCCTCACCACACAACCTCTGGTCTCCTTCTCTCCATAGTCTTCTCCAATATCACCTTCACTGGGTCATCACTGGACCAACACGAGGAGAGGCCACTTTGGATTTGGTGCTTGGCAATGAACCGGGCCAAGTGTCAGACCTGTTGGTAGGAGAGCATTTTGGCGGTAGCGATCATAACTCTGTTACTTTTACAATAGTCATGGAAAAGGATAGGTACATACAGCAGGGTAAGATTTATAATTGGGAGAAGGGTAATTATAATTCTGTTAGGCAAGAACTGGGTAACATAAAATGGGAACAGATGCTGTTAGGGAAGAGCACAACAGAAATGTGGAGATTGCTTAAGGAATGCATACTGCGTGAGATCGATATGCTTGTCCCTAGCAGGCAGGAAGGATGCAGTCGAGTGAGGGAGCCTTGGTTCTCGAGAGAGGTTGAGCAACTAGTTAAGGAGGTAGAAGGATGCTTACAGAAGGTTTAGGAAACAAGGATCAGGAAAAGCTCTAGAGGGATACAAGTTAGCCAGGAAGGAGCTGAAGAAAGGGCTTAGGAGAGCTATAAGGGGGCATGAGAAAACCCTGGCAGATAGGATCAAGGAAAACTCCAAGGCTTTTTGTACATACATGAGGAATAAGAGAACGACCAGAGAAACGGTAGGGCCGATCAAGGATTGTAAAGGGAATTTGTGCATGGAGCCTAAAGAGATAGGAGAGGTCCTTAATGAATACTTTGCTTCGGTATTCACAACTGAGAGGGACCTAGTTGTAGGGGAGGACAGTGTGAAACGGGCTGGTAGGCTAGAGGAGGTGGATGTTAGTAAGGAAGATGTACGAGGAATTTTGAGGAACTCGAAGATAGATAAGACCCCCAGGCCTGATGGGATTTATCCAAGGATTCTATGGGAAGCGAGGGAAGAGATCGCAAGGCCTTTGGCGATGATCTTTTCGACCTCACTGTCCACGTGTATAGTGCCGGAAGATTGGAGAGTGGCAAAAGTCATTCCCTTGTTCAAAAAAAAAGGGAATAGGGAAAACCACGGAAATTACAGGCCAGATAGTCTTATTTCAGTGGTGGGCAAATTATTAGAAAGGGCTCTGAGAAATAGGATTTATGATCACTTGGATAGGCACAGTTTGATTCATGATAGTCAGCATGGATTTGTCAAGGGTAGATCATGCCTCACAAACCTTACTGAATTCTTTGAAGAGGTGACCAAACACGTGGATGAAGGTACAGCACTGGATGTGGTATACATGGATTTAAGTAAGGCATTTGATAAGGTTCCCCATGGTAGGCTCATGCAGAAAGTAAGGAGGCATGGGATAGGGGGAAATGTGGCAGATTGGATTCAGAATTGGCTGATCCTTAGAAGACAAAGGCTGGTAGTGTACGGAAAATATCCAACATGGTGCTCGGTTACGAATGGTGTACCACAAGGATCTGTTCTGGGTCCTCTTCTATTTGTGATTTTTGTAAATGATTTGGATGTAGGAGTGGAAGGGTGGATTAGTAAGTTTGCGGACGATATGAAGGTGGGTCACGTTGTGGACAGTGCGAAGGGCTGTTCTAGGTTACAAAGGGACATTGATAGGATGCAGAGCTGGGCTGAGAAGTGGCGGATGGAGTTTAACCCTGAAAAGTGTGAGTGATTCATTTTGGAAGGACAAACTTGAAAGCAGAATACAGGGTTAACGGAAAGATTCTTGGCAGTGTGGAGGAGCAGGGGGATCTTGGGGTTCATGTCCACAGTTCCCTGAAAGCTGCCACCCAGGTCGATAGAGTTGTTAAAAAGGCGTATGGTGTGTTAGCTTTCATTAATAGAGGGATTGAGTTCAAGAGCCGTGAAGTTATGCTCCAGCTTTACAAAACCCTGGTTCGGCCACATCTGGAGTATTGTGTCCAGTTCTGATCGCCTCATTACAGGAAAGATGTGGAAGCGCTGGAGAAGGTGCAGAAGAGATTTACCAGGATGTTGCCTGGAATGGAGGGAAGGTCTTACGAGGAAAGGTTGAGAGAGCTAGAATGAGAGGTGACTTGATAGAGGTGTACAAAATGATCAGAGGTACAGATAGAGTGGACAGCCAGAGACCTTTTCTTAGGGTGGAGGTAGCTACTACGAGGAGGCATAGTTTTAAAGTGAGTGGAGGTAGATATAGGGGAGACGTCAGAGGTAGATTCTTTACTCAGAGGGTGGTAGGGGTGTGGAATGCATTGCCGGAGAGGGTAATGGAGTCGGCCTCATTAGGGTCATTTAAGCGGCTATTAGATAGGCATATGGATGATAATATAAGGTAGGGGTGGAGATTAGGTAGACCTTAGGTTTAGGGTAAAAGTTCGGCACAACATCGTGGGCCGAAGGGCCTGTACTGTTCTATGTTCTATCTATCTCCATGATCCTGCTTTGCAGCTCTGGCTGATGACCAGAGAAAAGCCGGTGAAATTTTTATCTCTGTTGTCTAATGGTATAGAGGTTAACTGAACAGCCTCTGCTGATGACACTATTAATCAGACACTGGGAGGCACTGAGCTAAATGGTAATACTTAGGTTTATTCCCCTTCAGACAACATACCCATCACAAATCCGATACCAAACTCATTGTGGTTCACATTGCAAAGTCTCACCATCATCACCTGGGGTTCCACACAGTAGGACTAAGGGCTCACATTTTCTGAATCATTTCAGTTCAATCCCATTCTTCCTCTCACCTGAATGATGTCATGGCTGTACATGGCACCTCGTTCCCAACTTCCCAGTTGTACTGTGTGTTCCCATGGCAAGTATCCAGTGCAGGCCTCTGTGGAAAACAGGTAATATTCTGGGAAAAGATCATGTGTGGTGCCCAGAGTTTTATCAGCTGGAGTGAGCAAATCGAGGTACCAGTGCACTGCGATGCCATGCACGTACTCAGCAACATGCACATCACTTAGGACCTGGTTAGATAGGGAGAAAAGATGTTGATCTGTCAGTGTTGTTGAGCCTTGGCGACATTCAGTGTTGGACAGACTGCATTAAACCTCTTTTTGATTCTGGAGGTTTCCGAGTGACTGCACTTGCTTTTCATTCACTATTCAAGTTCAGATCAGAGAGAACATGCACCAAATGTTTCATGTGCACACCTTTGCATCCAATCCATCTCCTTCCCCGCAAGACTCTCACCTGGGCCTTCTGGCCCCCATCTCTCACCCACACTCCTGACCAACCAACCCGCTACCTTGGCCTTGCCCATCTCTCCCATTACTTAGTTCCTTGCACATATTCCCAGTCTATCCATGCCAGCGCTCTGACATTACTGAATTGATGTTCTGCAGCAGTTACTTACAGACTGCATTTCATTCCACTGGAATCCATGTTATTGGCAAAGTTGAGCATTTGCGGATGTATATAGTAAAGAAGCATTCTTTAAGTTGAATATCTTATCATTCTTTATCGGGTTACCAACAAGAAGCTGCTTGTTCTACCCAACCAGACATAGCTGTCATTTCTGAGACTTCATTTCAAATCACACTCACCACCTTTGCCCAATAGGGCAACAAGAGTCTTTGATCATCGAGGATCATAAGCTGCATGTCCTTGTGAGAACTGTTTCGTAATGCAGGCCCAAGATCAAGCACAATGAAATCTCGCTGCATCTCTGCTGTGAACCCCATGCACTGGAAGCTGTAATCAGTTAGCATCCCTGTGGTGGGCTCATTTTGTGCTGTCAGTGCCCAAAACGTGAGGTTGTGCTTTGCATATTCATCCAGAAACCTGAAAAGAGAGGGGGAGGAAAAGAGAGATGGGGAAAGAGAGAGAAGAAAGAATGAAAAAGCAAGAGAGGAAGATCGAAAAAGAGAGAAAGCATGAAAAAGAGGTGGGGGGGGTGAGGGAGGGGAGGGGAGGGGAGGGAGGGAGGGAGAGAGAGAGAGAGACAGAGAGAGAGGCAGAGAGAGGCAGACATGGACAGAGAGATTAGACTGTGTGAAACAAGACTGATGGGAAATGGACAATATCAAACTCAATTAATTTCATTCTTTCACAAGAATATGTTTTCAATTAGAAACCTAAACTGTCCCCCTTTCTTTTGGCGCAATTCAAATCCAGCAGCTGAGTTTAAAGCTCTAACGTAAGCAAACAACTATATGTTGTGTTTGTGTTGTTGCCAGCACGTGGCAGGATCTCTATTGGAATAGGGCAAAATTTATGTGGAAAACTGACTGGAGGACTTCATCCCCTCTATTTAAAATATGACTTTATGGAAATGTTCAAGGGTCAAGAGGACACAGGCAGAGAATACAGCATTGAGCTTAATAATTCAGTCACTTTGTACGTGAGCACTCTTGGAAAAATGGATTGAAATTTCTGACTGTTCATTTGTGTACAGTCTTTCACCAGAAACGCTCAGGTCAGAGACCAGAAACCAGAAAGCAGAAAAACGTGTTCACTTTCCATCTGCACTTGACCTTCTTCATTCAACAGGTTTTCATCTTAAAGAACAAACCAAATCATGGCCATCAATGAGCTCCCAGTTCTCAAACTGAATGGCACAGCATAGTGTTTCCTCAAAAAAAGACTGAATGAGATTTGAGCTTATTTCTGGGAGTGGTAGGTGTGTCTGTCTCACCTGATGAAATACTTTGCCCATGACTTGTAGTATACTCCTCCAGGCTGGCCCTTCAAAGTTCCCTTCCCAATTGTTGAATTGCTCATTTTCATCCAGGGTGGAGCAGTCCATGGGCTGGCAAACAAAGACACGGGGCGTTTGGAAAGTGCTTTAGCCACTTTAATAATTGGAATCTAGTTGGAGAAGGAAAAAAAATCAGATTAGAATGGGACAACACAGTGTGGAGCCAGAGGTCAGGCAGCATCAGAGGGGTAGAAAAGTCACACTTCAGACCCTTCTTCAGAACTGGTCTTTCCGGACGGAGGAGGACAATGTTTTCAAGATGGGCAGCCTTGGAAGAGGCTGCGCAGTGGAGTTATAAGTCACTCAGAGATAGCCAGAACTGCAAATGCTGGAGTCAGAGTTCTGAAGAGTCCTGACCCAAAACATCGACTTTGCTACTCCTCTGATGCTGCCTGATCTGCTGTGTTCCTCCAGCTCCACACTGTGTGGTCTCTGACTCCAGCATCTGCAGTTCTTGCCATCTCTGAGATTAGAATGTTTAGGATCCACCACATGGGATTATGTTAAGGTCAACTCTTGGGATTATCAAAACGTAGGAAAATGGCTAGATGAGTGGTATTGGAAAGAAGAGGAGGGAACAGGATAAAGGGGAGCTCAGTGAGTTCAGGAGAGGAGGAACAGCAGGGGAATGGGCATGAAGGAAGGAAAGGGAAGGAGTGAACATGATGTGGGGAAAAAGGGAGGAGGCACTGAGGGAGGGGCAGGAGGGGAAAAATGGCAGAGGGCAGTGAGGGAAGAGACATAAAAGCAAAGGAGTGAGAGGCAATGTGGGGGAGAGGGAAGAAGCCAAATCAGGGAAAGGCTGCTGTTGCAGGAACGCAAAGGCTGACACTCTCCTTCCCCTTCCAAATTGCAATTGATCCTATTAACTTTGCAAACAAGGGCAAGCATTTCACCTTCATTTTGGTGTCTTCCTCTGTCAAACTGAAGTATTGCAGATCCAGGTCTCCAGGATGGTCATCATAAGTGTACACACGTGTCGAAAAATCACAGCTAGCCATTGGCACACGGATAATATTGTACTCAATTCCTGCATTTGGGAAAATTCGAAAGATGAAAGTGTGTCGGTGTTTCCAGAGCTGAGCTCTCATGTGGACACTACAACAAGGAAACATGCGGTTTGAACAAGGAGTATATAGCCATACAGGCGCATGCTGATAATTCTGGTTTTTTTGCAGCATGGTTTAGTTTTGATCCACACAAACCTTCTTCGGAAAAGTAGGATCGGAGAAGATTTTCCTGGGACCCAGCAGAAAGCGAGAGAATGTTGATTGCTGCAGCATCAGTGATTGCACCTCCAAAGCCTTTCATCTGCTGGTATATCTTCTTCACCTCAAAAGTCAGCTGCAAACCTAGGAGAACAAGGCTGTCATTTAGGGCACTGGAAATACGGAGTTGGATTTTAAAGAAAGCTCAGCAGTATTCAACTTGTTGCCATTGATGTATAAAAGGCTAGAATTAGGACTGAAGGATGCGTGAAGGTATCTGAAATTGGAGGTGGTTACAGAGACACAACCCTGGAAAAGATTTGAAAACAATGATGAATTTAAAATCAATGCATTGAGGATAGAAAGCCAGTGTAAATGAACTTGGACAGCAAGGAATAAGACAGAATACATTGAGCAGGAGGGTTCTTGTAGTGCTGTGGTAGTGTCCCTGTCTCTGAGCCAGGAGGCCCTGGATCAAACCCACCTGATCCAAGCATGTACTATAACATCCCTGAACAGGCTGATTTAAAATATTGGCCTGGCACTGAGTTTTGAATGAGCTGGTTTCTGAAGGAGGACATTACAGGAGTATAGCTAAAGACAGTACTAGAGCACGAGATCTGCAGGTGACCGAGGTAAGAATGAGGGTTTCAGCAGCAGGTAAGTGAAGTGGAGAAAGGAGATCGGACAGTAGTGGATTGAGGTACTGGAGACATGATCCTCATAATCAGGTTCTAATTCACCTCAGTTTACAGACGTTGCCTGAGGCAGCAACCAAGAAAAGAGGGGATGTTGATGTCACAAGAACAGAATCTATGGTGGGGGCAAAGGACTGTGGCTTCAGTCTCCTTGATGATTCACTGAACAAGGTTAAGTTCATCAAACATCACATGTCAAACAAGAAACCTGACCAATCTGATACACAGAAGGTGTCAAATGTAGTGGCTGAGAGGCAGAGCTGAGTCTTGTCAATACGCCAGTGGAACTTGATGTTGTGTTTTAATTCGAAGAAGCAGCACATGGGTGAAAAATAAGGAACCAAAGTTAGATCTCCAAGAAATTCTGGAAGCAACACTGCAAGGACAAGAAGAGAAGTCACTGCTAGAAATTGTCTCTGACTACAGTCAAAATAGAATCAAGTAAAGAAACCAATTTAAAAGCATTTTAAAAAGGAGAGAGAGGAAGGGAGACTTAGGGAAGGAATTCCAGAGCTGGATTCCCCTTCCTCAGCTTGCATCAAAGCCACATTACTCCTTTCATAATCAATAAGAAACATTGGTACTCCACTTGTGCTAACAGCAGGGGAGGCCATTTTCTATCTTATGCCCAATAGGAGAGGATAGAAGAGAGTATAACTAGGGTGGGAGGGGTCTTTGGTTTCGTTGGCTGCTCTTCCAAGGCAGTGGGAAGTGTAGACAAAGTCAATGGAAGGAAGGCTGCTTTTCGTAATGGACTGGGCTACGTTCACAACTGTAATTTCTTGCATTCTTGAGTATACCAGTTGCCATAACAAATTATAATGTATCAGGATCTGTAAAAATTGCTAAGAGTCATTATGGAATTTCCTTTATTCATTCACAGGATGAGGGTGTCACTTTTAGGAACCATTTATTGCCCATCCCTAATTGCCCAGAAGACAGTTCAGAGTCAACCACATTGCTATGGGTCCGGAGTCACATGTAGACCAGACCAAGTAAGGGTGGCAGTTTTCTTCCCTAAAGAACAGTAGTGAAGCAGATGGGTTTTTCCAACAATCGGCAACAGATTCATA